AGACAGAAATTTAGACAGTATGACTGAAATAATCGTCAGTAGTGGATCCACAAGCGGGATTCAGGGGGCCAACCCCCTTCCCCCACCATCTGTTGGAAATCCACAACCAGTAAACAGTTCGTTTGAGAAAAACTGGATCCGCCTCTGTTTGTTAATAATCGATAATATAACCAATAAAACTGACACAGAAATACATCTTTATCACATTGACATTCATAGTAATATCATTCCCGATGCAAATACATGTACTTGCTATTTTGTATTTTTCAGTTTTCATGACAACGATACCTTCATTTATATCATGTATCCTGGGTTTTACATTTAAAAAGCATATAATGTACGTGATGGTGAGTATTAAAGTGTTTTATATTCTTTTCTAAAATGAGGACTCAGTTAATTTCAGTGCTTATAGATACCGTGCATACAGAAGATTCTCAAATTCAAGTATAGTTTATTAAAGATGTACCCAAAATGAGTCTGCCAACACACATTTGGTACGCCTGATTCAGGGGTCAACGTAGAGGGTGTTTGGTTCTCAGCAATGTGGCATGCGCCAGACTCATATTAAATCGTATTTGGAATACAGTTTCAACATATATAAAAATTTAATGGTGTACGCAAAAGTTTCCTTTATATATTTACTTTTTTTTCGACATTTTTTCGGTAATTTTATATGAACTCGCACCCTTCTCTCAATGGTTTTCAGATTTGTGTTGAGTAGTATTCTGGTTTCAGGGGTGAGTAAATGAGACTAAGAGTGAAAAAAGAGGTGGTACTCGGAATTCAGAGGAGGAGGGGGTTGGCACCCTGAAAAATGTAGAAAAGTTCATCCTGCATGTTTTGTGAATAAAATAAGGGAGACGTTGTGAGACATACATATCTAGTACAGTTACACACAGATCTTGTGCGACATAATATCTAGTACAGTCACACACAGACGTTGTGAGACAAACATATCTAGTACAGTCACGCACAGCGATGTGAGACATCCATATCTAGTACAGTCACACATGGACGTTGTGAGACAAACATATCTAGTACAGTCACGCACAGCGGTGTGAGACATACATATCTAGTACAGTCACGCACAGCGGTGTGAGACATACATATCTAGTACAGTCACGCACAGCGGTGTGAGACATACATATCTAGTACAGTCACGCACAGCGGTGTGAGACATACATATCTAGTACAGTCACGCACAGACGGTGTGAGACAAACATATCTAGTACAGTCACGCACAGCGGTGTGAGACATACATATCTAGTACAGTCACGCACAGCGGTGTGAGACATACATGTCTAGTACAGTCACACATGGACGTTGTGAGACATACATGTCTAGTACAGTCACACGCAGATGTTGTGAGATATACATGTCTAGCATCAGACCGGTATTTTAATAAAGATAAACACTACTTCAGGCGCATCTAGGACAGTAAATTGTCTTTTAGGATCAACTGAAATGAACCCCCGTCATCCATTTGACACTCCAACGGTTTATTTTTCAAAACCTTTGACAAATTTATATCTGAAACGCTTTGACCAATTTTTAAATACCTTTGCCGACCTACCAATAATGCAATGATATCGGTATTTGCCATTATGGGTGGTGCCACTTGGAAGCCTGTTCTATATATCAAATTCTAAGTCGGCGCCAGAGGTCCTCCTCGAGGTGGGAACAAAAGTCTCCCCCGCCACGTAAACCAAACCAATCACCGCCATGGCAGTGGCAACACGATAAACCAATATAAATGATCAACTATTTCATATCAAATCACAGGGTTCTGAGTCTTAATAAAAAGGAGATGGGACTCCGTACACCCGATACACATACATGACATCGTTTGATCCTGTCGATGGACCTGTTCACAACCCTTTAGGAAGTGTTGAAGTAAAACCAACACAAAATGTTGTTTTGCATAAAAAGATAATAAAATGGGAACGCATATTCGATAATCATCTTTTATGTTTCCATTTCTGTAACACATTCCACGCCCCTGTTTTACAATCATCAATATTTCACAGGAGTGTATACATGAGGTTCCTACATCACCCCTGGATACAAGAAGACTGAAGAAGAAGAAGATTCTGAAGAAGGAAAAGAAGTTGTTAATTGAGATGTATGGTGTTGTTCAAGTACAGTTATGTCGGGCTACAGTGGTGTACATCACCTGATCTCGTGCTAATACGTCTGTCTTGGGGTGGGCTGAAATAGAGTTTAACGTTTAACGTGCGTACGTGCGTGCGTGCGTGCGTGCGTGCGTGTGTGTGTGTGTGCTTGTACACATGCTGGTTTTACACCTTTCCGCAGTTTAACATGAATACCCCACCGAGACACATTATTTTGACTCCGATCCGACCAATTCTTGTTTTATCATCTTAATGCTGAGCGTCGTCATCGTTTATCATCGTCACCGACATTTCGCTCTCCGGGCAGACGCTCTATCCACTAAACAACGATGGCGTACTGAATGTTCAGAGGCAATGTATTGTATGCGCTTGAACCATGATGGCAATCGGAGAAAGCTCAGTTCCTAAACTACAAATATATATTCCAGGCATGAGATCCTCTGACGTTTTACATGCAGTCTCTGCAACTGCTGAACGTGGCGCATCAACCTCGGAGCAGCGGGACTGACAACAGCATGCTCAGCACCAGCATTACATAATAAGGTCATGACCTTTATGCAGTCTGAGTGATCTCCCCTTTTGACGCTCTCCGTCGCGTGCGTCTGCACCTCACATCAGATCTTAATTACGCCATTCGAGGAGTATAAAACGAAGGAATCTTTGAATAACAACTACATTCACCAGACTTCATCAATCGCAGGACTAAATCACACGCATATAGAATGAAGGGCGCCAGAGGAGTGGAAAGAAATCGCCTGATTTAGCCTGCCTGTTGCTTTAATTGAATACCAATACCAGCTGAACAGCAGTCACTATTCACATCAGTCCTACTTCCGGTAAGCAGTGTGGGGTTCACTCACCATTAGTCACGGGGTCCTGGCACGAGACTTAACCAATGTTAACAAATGTCAATGGAGCAATCTGCCTGATTGGCAGGCTATCACGCGCTTCGCTGATTTTTCTGAGCACGACAAACGTAAATTGGAGTTCTCCCTGTCTCCCTGACATATCGGTGCCATCCGAAGATGTTCTGAGTCGCTAAGTGACAGGACTCGGATCGAGGCGAGGCCAGGCTACGACATTTCCAATTTCAACTTTCAATTTCAAGTTCGAAAAGTGCCATATATAACATTCACTAAATTTCGTGATTTATTTTGTTCAACGGAGAACCTTTACATTGAATGGACATTGAAATGAAATTGCATGGAGAAATAAATGGCATCACTGAACTCTTACAAACTTGATTGTGCTGCCTGAAGATCATCGGTAGCCAACAAGGCTTTTTCAAGTATTACTAATATTTTGCCCAAAACTTACTTGAAATCGTTGACCCTTCCCAACTATATTTATACATGGGGTATACGGAGACGAAGGGTACTGAATTACTTCTAGGTGAGGTGAGGTGAGGTGAGGTGAGGTGAGGTAAGGTGAGGTTAAATTGGGTTTAACGTCGCGTCCAAGATTATTGCACTTATATAGCGACGTCACGACTTCTAGGAAATCGTATGTTTCATCAGCTTGTATACAGAGGTGCTGCAACATATTTTCTCGTTGTCAACTATATTTAATGTCTGTTTACGTTAAAAATGCGCAGAAATTCAAAGCGTGTTAAAATGTATGCAGTAAAAGAACAAAGGGTGATGTCTTCATTATCCAATGATTAGGATATTAATAGTCGGATCGGATTAGCTAAGTGAAAAGCGCGGACGTCAGAGAAAACACTTCCTGTCCGCGAGGAGGTCCCCGTGTATGATGAAAAGAGAATACAGTAACACACAAACATGAATCTGTGGATTTACAGAAACAGTCTCAAGTGCTTGTATGGGCATAATGTCTCGGAACTGGAGTGAAAACTTTCGGGAGAATAAAACTCGTCTACGGCAAATCGAATGTGTTTTAATGCGCCATGTTCCGGACTCTTATCGACCGAGCAGCCCTGCTCAGGAGGAGGAAGGGGGGTCTAGTGAGAGGCTGGCATTGATGAATCGAGGCCTAACTCCCAGATTACTGCTGCCATACACCGGGAACGCGCCTGGCTAAAAAGGCCAAAAGGAAAATTAAGGGAACGGGGAAACGAGATCGGCATTCGATTTTTTGTGAAGAAATCCGAAACACACTGTTTGAACCTAATTTGTTGGCCCGGCTTAATTGATCATTTGTCACATTTTGTTCGGATTTACTTAACGAGGGCCAGAATGAAACTAGAGGAGTTTATTCAATGATTTTGCCCCATGTCAACTTCTTTTAACATCGGTCAGAAAATGTATCCAAGTTTTTCATCGACTGGATCAGCACAATACAGCCCTGCATGTCTTCCACATCTTCATTCGCCATTGTGACAAGTGAAAAATATCTTCTTTAATCAATATTTTTTTCTTTCGACCGTAGGTTAATTCTCTGCTTAAAAGACCCCGAAAATAAGGAATACAAATGAATGTTTGATCAAAGATACGTCCATGGAAACACAATCAGCCTATGTTAACATTAAAATAGTATTGGAACTCCATACTGCATAAACAGTTTAATCCAGACATGGCAAGGCAATTTTGATCTACAACTAAAAATCGAAAGCCATTTCTGTCAAATAAAGATATTTGATTCATTTGGAATCCAGGGTCCCGAAAGCATAGGACGCCGAGTTCCAGACGAATATTCTGCTACAGAAATAAGATAAATGTAAATTGTATGAATTCATTTGACATTAAGGCGAAAGGGGCTATGCGAAATAGCCTCAGAGCAAAATACCATGTTGGGTGTAACTGTTTGGTGTTTAATGCCGCACTGCAATAATTGAGCTGTATGACGGTGGCCTGAAAATAATGGAGTATGGACCAGACAAACAGTGGTTGATATAATTCTGCTACTCACTGCCATTTCCTCATCTTCGTTTTTCATATGGTCAGCTATAAACTTGACCCCTTTAAGAGCTTCTTTGACATCTGGGGTAAAGTTGCCTTCCTCCTCCATCTCCTCAGACCGACATCCATGTCGGACATTCTCGTACATGTGCCAGTCACGTGACCTTGCTGCGGCCGCCGCCGCTGCCGCCGTTTCTCTCATTTCTATGCCGTTGCAAGTTCTTACGGCCACCTTCGGCGCCTTATCGAGAGATGGTCGTTTAATTAACAATATTTTAGGCAATATCTCCGTGAAAACTCTCCTAACCCACGGAGACATTTTATGCGTTGTTGGTGTTTTAAAATTGATATGCAGCGTGTAAACCGTCAGAAATATAGACATAGTCACTACTATCATAATGAAAAGTAAATATTTCCCAATCAATGGTATCACAAGCGACGTAGGAGGGTTTATATCAGATAACAACAGGAAGAACACTGTCAACGCCAGCAATATAGATATAGACAACGTGATCTTTTCTCCGGAATCAGAAGGCAGGTAAAACACGAGCACAGTAAGACAAGAGATGGAGATGCAGGGCATGATCAAATTGAGCGTGTAGAAGAGCGTACGCCGCCGCAGGGTGATGTTGAACGTAATATCGGGGTAGGGTCCTGGGCAGCAAGCGTAGAACTTCTCCTTGCGTCTTGCTGTCACGTTGATGATGTCCCATTCGACGTTGTGGTAGTAGTCTCTGATGTCAATGCCGCGGGTGATGACGAGACCATCGTTTTGGGTCTCCACGCCATTGCACATATGCTGTAGATCTAACTCGTTACCATTGTAGGTCCAGGAACTGAATTTAAGGAAGCAATGCTGCATATCAAATGGGAAGAACTCGACGTCAATGGGACAGTAGCTTTTGTAGATTGATGGCGGCTCCCATACTATCTTGCCGTTATAATTCACTGTAGCTTTTGTCTGTAATGTTATCACAAATTCTCCGTCGGCGCTGCAATGTATAGACAAGTAGCATTATACAATGAAAAATGCCTTACCTCGAGTGAGTAAGTATAGTTCTTCGCTGCCTTTAGCAATATTCAAAGCTATCACGACGTAGGACACCAGAAATGACCTTCACACATTGTAACCATGTAGGGGGTTGAACCCTGGTCATCGGCGTGTCGAGCGAACGCTTTTACCACTAGGCTACTCCATCGCCCATACGTTTTTTGGAAGTCCTTGTGATCAAAATTGATTTGGAGTTATACATTGTTCGAGACAAGGTGAGCTGTGATAAAATGCAAAGGAAATTTTCGGAATAATAACATTACATCCTCTAATGTGATATAGTATTAATTAATTTCGTTAATTAAGTTCGTTACAACAAGACATCCTTCGAAACTAGCATTGGTGTAAGACAATTTGTAAGGTTAATTACACATTGCACAGATTAACGACATCATTCACAAAATACGACCTCAAGGTCATCTAAACAATCCGTAAATTAAGTTTTAACCTTATTCAACTTAAATGATTGGGAAACAATGACACTTTAAAAACCTTTTAAATCGATGTAAATCATATTTGAAAAGATGTGTTAACAATGTTTTTATTTGAAAACGGCAAGACATACAATTATTCACATTCTACATAATTATCACTTTAAAGTTACAGTGATAACTACAGGTGTTCGAGATATGAAGGTGTTATTTTCTGATTTTCACTAACCTGGAAATCGCTATAAATAGATTCACATTGTTTTTTTAGGTATAGCATCGATCACTTACTTGTTGTAGAGGACAATATCTGGTCTCCAAAGCTGGTTAGACGGGATATGCAATTTCTTAACTCCGCCATAATCATCCGGGTCCCATTTCAGTCTGAGATCCGTCCATTCCTTCAACATAATATATAAATTACGGTTACAGAAAGAAAACATTCCGTGGTACCATAGGATCATCGGATGCGGGAACAAACGCCTGTGACGAAGTATGCAACACCTGTCTTGGTTATACAAACGCTCAGTAATTTAGAGGTACTCATGTGAATATCCATCGTCAACGCCAGAGAATAACTAGTTGCGATTAAAAGAAACAGATTCCATTGGGCGTAAAAGGCAAAATAGCAGAGAATATTTTATGAATGGATCAGTGAAAATAATAATTAATATTACATTTAAAAATAACCCGACGTCATATGGCTGAGTGCGGCGTAAAACAACAAACCATCAAACCATCATTTAAAAATAACATTTCTCAGGACATCCATCATGTCCATTGAACAGTGATTTGGGGGGTAATGATCCTTTACTTTATCAAACAAATTGTTTAATGTCGTAGTGAGCTGCTATTAGTATATCATTTATATAACGGCGTGTCAACTTGATGTGGGAGGAAATACAGACGTGAGGCAGGTCTTTATGTCAATCAATATTCAAGTCGGTCCGGTCATTGGTGTCAACATGTTATAATTTTGAGCTAGTACAATCGAGAATGCTCTTTTTACGAACATTCAAAGAGCGTCATACATGTACGCCCCTTGCCCAAAGGTTGTTTGGTCAGGGTTCCAACACAAGACAACATAACACACGTGGAGGACAACTGTGAAACATCAGTGACAAAATGGTGTCTGATGCCACTTCCTGTTTTGACTTGCACCACGTCTCCTGTGCTTTTTCAGGTGAACAACTGACTTGCCTTTATCTTTGCCGCCAGTGAGGCATGATACTCTCACCTTTTCGCGAACACCTGTTATCATCACTGTTTGACAGTGATTCATGCATATGATAAAAAGGATTTTTAGCAGAGAGTTCTTATGATTCTAGAATTGTTTTGTCGCTTTTTTAGACACCTTTGGTGAAACCCAGGTTTGGTGCTGACAAACCAAGAAACATAATCAGGGCGAACCGGGATTCGAACCGACGATCATAGGTTTTTAAGGGCAGCAACACTGCACAGTTAATTACATCGCCTTGGACGCGTTGGGCAAACGTGTCCCTTATGTCACACAAAGAATATGTCACACAAGAAAACAAGATTATCGAAACCAGATGTATTCTCCCTGGGGTCCATTCACTCAAAACAACAACAACCTGACAGACAGCATCATTTGTTTTTCACAACGACAGCACGATGATGATAGCTGAAGTAATAGAACAAAGGCCAGGTGTCTGTCTAACTGAGTTCGGCAAAGTTTGAACATGATTCACGTTCATGGTGCTTCAAAACTACTCCCACTGGGTTAATGAAAGCATTATCGTTATATCAATCGCCCACAGAGACCTAATTAATGTCATGACTTTGAAATATAAACCAAATTGTGTATTTTATTTCCTGTTCTCGTAGTACGGCTGTCTATTTAATTGGCTCAGGTTTTATCTAAAAAAACCCAAAAATATTAAGAAGATTGTTATGTCACGAGGGATACTTGATGCGTTGAATTTAAAACACGTTTGAATATTTTTCTACGATTTGCTTTTACGCATTTGACCAAAACAGTTCCTTCTTAAAATCCGCATGGACATATGTATTTCATGACATAAACGCATCATTCAAGTGGTACTGCAGGGAACAATCAATTCCAAGTAAGACATTGTAGTGAGTGAGTTTGGTTTAACGCCGCTTTGATCAGTATTTCAGATAAAATATTAATTCAGAAAGAACTTTACTTCTTTTCACAATTTCGAAAGAGCCTTGTGACACCACGGCGACACCATGCGTGATTATATGACAAGTAAGGTTCAAATTCCACATATACTGTATGCTTCAAATAAACAAACGTAAAGTACCCTTCAGTGAATACTGCCATTTCAGCCATCTTGATCTTGAAGATCGGGGCATCTTGTTCAACAATCTGAGCAAGAGGCATTATGATAGCTCTACCTCAGATGAATACGATAAAAAATTTCAAGACGTAAAAGCTCTCTGTGAATGTGTAATTTTGCGCGGTAATTTCCTGTAGATGTTATCCTTTGTTTATTTTGGAAACACTGTGGATATCTTTCTGACGCGGGGATACACACTCAGGGCATGCCCACTTCTTTCTTGGGGAACGAGGGAAGCTGATATTTACCAATCAAAGATGGAGTATATCGATATGGCGAACACTGATTGACTGGGGTCGACAGGCGACGTGTGGCACAAAATTGCCAAAATGAGTTCATTTAATGAATAGAAATGTCTTGAAGACAAACCATGTTCCCTTGGCTCAATCAAACGCAGCTATTCTTCCAATTCCTGCCTCCGATCAAGGGTTTCCAATGACACCAATTTTCCTAATTATGTCGGGAAGTTGACCCCAGCACTGTAATCATCATGACTGATTGTCACTTTGCCATATGAACCTACAGTTAGGAGGGAAGACGAAGTCCTATTGCTGACGAACCAAATTTTGTTTGTTTGGTCTATGGCAGACTGTGGTGGCTAGAATTCTAGTTGACATGGATTCACGTTTATAGCTGTTTACATTACCCAGGGAGTGTCCCGTGATTACTGTGTGAAGTTATATTCATTATCTGCCAGGTTCTGCTTGTGTTGTGTTCAAATCCAAGAATTTGATCCTTGGTTTGTCAGCACCATGACTTCCCTTTGGTTTCACGAGCAGCGTCACTTTGGGATTTCCTCTGATAACACGCTAACACGCTGATTGTTAATTGGAAGTAATTCAATTGGGAAATATATATTTCTACTGAATTCTTTCCAAACCCATATTCCCTATTAGGTCTATATTTTCATAAATAATGCTTATTAGTTTATTGAGTTGTTCTTCCAATAGGATAACCTATTTGATTATTGAAACGTATTCGTAGTTGTAACCAGTGGTTGGGAACAGGGGGCTAATGACACGTTGTAAATACTGAACGGAATATATGAAAATGGCAACATAACCAACGTCTCACTTACGTTACATTGGATCATTCAGTTAACTGTAATATAATTTAGGTTCCGTGACAAGCATGTATAAACCTGATAAAGGAGCAAGAAGAAGTCCTGAAACGTTGCGTACACTAGTGTACAGTGTAGAAGCTATCCACAACAGCATTTATAGCCACTAACCATTTTACTCCGTTAGTAATGTCTAGCTATATACAGCCTTTATAGTTATCTAGCCTGGGCCAGGCCAACCAGCGTTCGATAGCATGAACAATGATCAACGCCGGCAGGATACGATGACACAAGCAGGCCATCCATTGTAAACAGCCAATCTTCATTTTCGACGTCTCTTACGAGTTGCAGTGTTACATGTATTGTTGGTTGGAGTATGTCTTTGTGCTTCAGACCTTAATTTGTTTCAGCCTTTCATCTCTTCTCTCTATGGCTGATGATTCAGATACAATCGTTTTTTAGAATTACGATAAACGTTTGGGCGAGAGTCATCAAACAGACACACGCACCGACACACGCGTATCAGTATTGTCCAAAATCACCCCATTCCGCACTAGGACTTCATGTGTGTACTTAAAAAGGTGGGCCACTTAGTTCCACAGTGCCCGATTGCCGCTTTCCCAGGAACTACGACTATTAATTCACAGAGAAACGAATTAGTGTATGGATTTTTTGGAGGAATTACACAATGTCCTTCACTAATTGCAAACATTAATGGAATTTGAAGATAACAATAGTCAGAAACAATGAAGTGCAGCCGATAGAGCAAACAAAGCAAAACATTTTTTCGTTTTGTATGTTTAGAAAAAATTACAAACCATCGCGTGTCAAAGCAAATCTCAATATCACCCTCTGAACTTGCTTTCAAGGAGCATCCAGGTTAAAAAGGTGGCAATTTGCCATTGTTGTTATTTTGAACACTCTCAAATAATGTGTTATTATTTGACATTTCTTCAACCCATACGAGAAAAGCACGTTGTTGACACGAACAAAAAAAAAATGATAACAGTGCTTTGGTTCTTCCTGTTTCTAATTATTGAAAATGAGTGGGTGCGGCACGTGCGGTGTTTGCGAATCAGTCCATCCACCCACAGACACACAGACACACACACATCCACCCACCCACCCACCCACCCACACCCACACACACACACACACACACACACACACACACACTTTTGTGATTGATTACCACCCGGTTTGCTGAGATCTGCCATTGTCCGTATGCCAAGAGTAGTGTTATTTTCTAGTATATTAAAATGATCGTCAACGTACTACAGTGGTTAGATACAGGGTTCTCTTTTCAATAGGTTTTTTTTTTTTATATCTCTCATAAAGTGTACAGATGGAAGATTGAAGTACTGAGATGTATCTATATTCAACCCATAACAAGGCTATTATTTTCTGCTTTGACGCTAAATTATAGTTATCTTGATTTTTATTTAGCTTTGCCATTGTCAGTGGGTAAGTTAGTGTGTTGGGATTCATGCTGCTTTAAGCAATATTAGTCACGATATGGCTGAAATAATGCCGATGTGACGTTAAATTTTAACTCACTCACTCATTTTAAGCAATATTTCAGTTATTTCACAGCCTGGAAGCAAATTGTAAAGTGTGGGGTGGAGGAAACCCCGATGTTATTCAGGTCTTTGTAACGACTAATCAGTTACAGTTCAAGCCTACAATCATAGGATGCTGTCATGCCCAAGGGATGCAACTGCGAACTGCGGCGCTTTGGACGACCAGGCCTCCCATGAAGCCCGCAGACATGTGCGATATATATACAGAGTATGGCAGTATACAGAGGGATGATGTGTTGAGATTTCACATTTCATATTTCGAACACTAGACAAGGTGATATTCGCATCACGGGTTCCAGTGCCATTAGTTTCACACCGGATCTCTTAATGGACATAGCATTGGACTTACGTGGTGCAGCCAGACGCTGAGTGATATCACTTGCTTCTTCTCATCCTGAAAGAAACAAAGAAACTTTTTAAAAAGGTAATGTCAATCAATCACGATGCAAATCGTTACAAGATCTGCAATACCTGTGTTCAACAATGTTAGGAAACAGTCCGGGAACAAGTGCTGGGAATATTATGTTAATTCAGATTAAAAGCAATTGTTTAAACATACGCACAAACGTACCCAGGAATGCAGGCACATATAAATACCAAAATAACAGAATAACAGAAAATGAGTAAGAAAGCATTTCACCTGATATATTTCAATATATATACACGTCATAGATGATGTATGCATAACATCAGAGGGGAGGGCCTTCCATCGTCCCAAAATGACAGCGTTTCTAATATCTCTATTTCTTCGACCTGACAAACGTGCATTATACGCTTCATTTCAGTTTGATATAATCTTAATCCTAGGGTACCAATACAACAGTGCAACAGTACTAAAAAATGTTTTCCATCCAAGGGTACGGTCAGCGGGTTTAGAACGACCGCTCCTTCTCTCTGATGTAATTTGCAACTCCCAGTAACAGGAAACTGCTTAAGTGAAGCACACATTAGCTGAACATCTTATCCACTTGCAGTATTTTAATACACACTAAAAACCTCTATCACCATATTGATTTTATTCAATATTACTAGCTGTACCATCACAAAATAAGCGTCACATGAGATTCTGGCTAAATTTGTCTTTCAAATTGTATCTTTAAATACGATCATTTAATTATAGACACAATACCGCCGCGCATCTTGGTCTGTCTAAATACGGCAGCAACGGCATGTACGATTGAAAGGTACCCGTTGTCGCAGTCTGTGTTTAAGGGTCATCTATATTTGACGGCATTCAGGCGTACATGGCGTCAGGTTGCTATTTGATTGCTTTGTACATGCGTCTTTTTCCTACGTAAGTCAGCCAAAAGGTTACTGCTCTGGCAGAGGACTTCGTGACATTTACAGCTGAACAAATTCTATGGGCCTTCAATTTCGCTCGAGCAGTTCATATTGACTTTCCTATCTCTGTGTTCACGATAAACTTGCATACCCGAAGCATGCTATGTAACCTCCAGCCTTACTGACTTCACCATGTAGACTTGCATGTTAATCTTGGATCTAATATTAGTGTTGTTGTTTCGACCTTCGTTATCTCGAAGCATTTTGCATATCTCGAAAAAGGGCCACAAATCACATTTTGTATATTCATGGTATATTTGATTTGATATAAACTGCCGAGGAAAATGAAGTATATTGTGATGTTGGCTCAAATGAAACAAACAAGAAATGGTTATTCGATGGCGATGTACTTGATACCGGTATCAAACTTGCTTTTTGGACCTTAAATTTGCGACTGTTTGCAACCTAATAACGTTTTGATAACGTTTGAAATAGTTTGGTCAAATCTAATTTTCAAGTGTATACTTTCGTTTGGCCGACAGTTTATATCAATCGGAGCAGATATGTTGTCAACACTGAGTATTGTACCTGAAGCCTGGAACATTTGTAAATATAGATTAATATTCTAGAAGACACGGTCTTGTTACATCCACCAACGTAGGGTCCAACCGGAAGTGTTTGAAATGGTCAATCGTTTCGCACTCACAGAGGACATCATAGTTATTCGAGTTTGTGTCATCTTGGAGCTATCATATGCACATATCTATGTTGTAAGTTGTTATTCATGAACAGAATATTAAAAAAAACCCTTGTTTAAAGATTCTGCACATGACAGATAGATGTATGATGTACTACTATAAATATTCCCTATGATAAATGCAGGTGCACAACAACTCTGAAAAAGTAATAAATAACGCCAACATCGTTTTACACCAAAATCTATATTGATCAGGGAAATGTATCCTTTGATTTTCTGCGAATCAGAGACCAGAAACAATTAACCTCGGGCTAGCTGTCTGTGCTCGATTAATTGGCCCTCTACTCCGCACCTAATTCAATCAGAGCTCATTTCAAGTGCCATAATTCAATTTACATCTCTGTCCTTATTTAACGACACCATACGACGTAAACCCGTTTTATCAACACCAGTTCAAGTATATAAAAATCGAAATATGTTTGCTGGTAACTTTTTGCAACACAAGTGCACTTCTTGCACGTGCAGCCTTCAAGTATCCCTCGAGAGATCCCATACGCAACTGACAGCCACAATTTGGTTAGCCGTTCTGCGGAGGATTGGAGGCTGGTGTTTGATTTAGTAGGCTGCCGAGTCCGTAACGGCTGAGTCTGGCTGAAGGGGTAAGACGGAATTACACAGGGGCAAGTGTTGTAATTAATTAGTTTTTGTGTACATGCCTCACGCCCGACACCAACGAACACTCTCTCTAATTTATGTTATTGGTTTAATACGGAGTTCCTTGTGAGAACATTGCATGTGCCAATAACTTGTGGAATATTTCGCCCGTTAATTTCCCGTCCCTGTCAAGACGTTAGGAAGGAAATAGAAGCCGGTGCAACACTGGCACGGTGCTCGTTAGCCTCGTCAGCATTAAAGGCGGGACAAGAACCCCTGATTACAAGGTGGCCCTGTAAGCCAGACCTTTGGGCTCCCTGGCTGGACTCAGTGACCGTCGTATCGGCTTTCATCGACCCACCTCGGACAGCGATGTACATGTTCTTATAAGGCTTAAGACTGTCTCTTGCATGAAAGTTTATGCCTCAAAAGAATCCACCACATACAAATTTGGCACTTTATAGGCTTTGAGGGCGAGAAAGAGAAATGACGTGGTTTAGGTTTCTGCTGGCAACAGGAAGAGCTGGAGATATACATTACCACGCAGAGAAGATTGAAATGGTTCAAAATAAAACAGTGAAGGGAACGGCAGCCAGCAGATAAGGATTCGGCTGTTCACAGCAACATTTCTACTGTCTCATCTTTCCCACACTGCGGAAGGAAATCTATCAGTTCTAAACCTGCTACTTCGAGGACAAACACAAAGTCTGTAACATCATGGCTGTTGGGGGTCACTATATGTCCGCCGATACTGCACATATTGATTCACATCGTTATATATTGCAACCTTAACTTAGATTTTTTAATGATTCAAGTAAGTACTCGTAGCTTAGAATCCATTCCAGTTTGCGAATGGTGTAAGTATTAGCTGATGCAAGAAACCAGTGGTTGAGATCCATGAAGTTGTACGTTTTCTTATTTACTTGAGAATAAAATTGTTTTGTGATCTGCCAACTATCTTTGTAAATTGTCCTAATGCCTTTCTGAGAAATAGAATTTCTCTAATTGTGTAGCGATAATTGTCTTCGAATCTCACAGTCAGTCTGAAGCCAAGTACTAAATATCTTTGTGATTGACGATATCAATTTATCCTTCTGGTGACGAGTCGTATCTGCGCTAAACAATTAATCCTCCGATCTCATCAGTATGGGTGTGACAGTCAAGGTTTTCCAATAACACAGCTACCAGCGGTATTTCCTACTTCATATCCTACTGGTAAGGTTGAAAGTAGAGGCTTACCTAAACCTTATATTTTACTATGTTTAGAATCAATTTTACAGCCTATAGTTCTTGTTTTATTTATTTACGTCCTGGTATCAGTTTCGTGTCGATGTGTCTTTTAAGCATATTTGCTTTCACTGGGTGACCATGATACCACATTTAACCAAACTGCATACACCAAGGTTTGCCACCACTTGCCACACCTGCTTTTGTTTGGTGACCGTTTGTCCATCTGCAAAACCCTTTCTATAATCTTAAGAAATATCTGAATCTTTGTGCACAGACCTAAATAAGAAACAGGTAAGTCGGTTTCAGTGGCCTCTTGAGGCTCAGGTGGAGAATTCAGTGCAGGGGATATGGCTATTTATCCTTTAGTGAACGATGTCAGCGATATATCTGAAGCTTATTGCCAAGTTCCCTTGTTTTCATGCACACCCCCCACCCCCCACACACAAACAAAACGATTAAAAAGTAAGAGAGCACAATTGGTGCCTTTGGTGATGTCAACTTCTTGCCTAAATGACCCATCTTCAACTTTCCACAATTCGATTAGTTTGGCGACGACCGTTTGGCCCCCTTTAACCGCAGATGATGTTGTTTCACGACCGTGTGGCCTGATCCCCAGCTGCGACAACTTGCTGACCATCTGGAACCTCCTTAACCACTGATGCCAAGCCCTGTCCAGTAGTTTTGCAACATCTAAATTTTTCATGACCTTCCTTTCCCAGCACCACCTCTTGTATGATCGGTAAAAGACGTGCTCTTAGCAACCGTTGCCTAGCATGCTAATATGTTTTGTTATCAGCATTGTCATCTTGGCCATCAGCCGTTCACCCCAACCTACAAACATTCATAAACAAACAAGGCCCTCCTCGCCTGATAACGACTGTGTAGAAGGTAGTGCCAAACTTATGGTTAAAAGTTCTAAACGTGTCCGAGTTGGTGATGTACATAGTGGTCGTAATAGACTGGAAACTGGAAACGTCCAGATTTAATGGCTGACTCTATACACTCAATATGTATACATCATGATAAAAAAATGTAATTAATGTACAGTGTGATCGCAGAAATGAACATGCAGTGGTTCCTACTTGATTATCCTAAATGTGTACTAAATAAATATATTTGTGACAAAATGTTTTGACTTTGTTAAAACATATCTAATAGCGGTCGCCATGTCGAATACATTTAAAACATACCTTATACTGTCTAAAAACATTGGAGGTAGACGACTGTGTGAGGTTGGAAGTCTGATATTTGGCACGTATGTGTATAGTGCTCTTTTTTATTAATATATCCATGGGCAGCGATGCGTTTGTGTTATGGTAACGAGGATTAGATTCCACTTATTGACCAAGCACAGTCGATATATTTAGTCATGTAGAATGTAGAATATCCATGTTCAGATATGCGCATCAGCTATCAAAAGTTTGAAATAATTATCAATAATATTCATGACATGCAAATGATCTTATTACTGGGTTGAAATATCTATCAGGCTAATGTTACAGCTAATTGTTATGGAGTGTAATAGTAATCCC